GTTTTTTTTTTAGTTTCATGTTCATACAAAATATTTTAGCCAAGAGCTGAGATTGATTATGCCCCTCTCACATATGTACTGCATGAAAGCTAATGCCTGTAGCTTTTAGCTTAGCTTAGACTAAGTATTGGCAATCGATTTTTCCAAGGGACCACTTGACAAACTGGGACTGTTGTGAAGGGTTGAACCAAAAAGCTGAATTCAGTTCTGCTCAGTATTAGTTTAATCACTTTATAAGCTCATTTGTGCAGCCGTCCACAACTGTCCCAGTTTCTCATGTGGCCCTTTGGGAAAATGGCACAAGCAAGCCCAGGCTCCACCAGTCAAGCTGACCATTCAACCTTTTACACAATAGCCAAAATCACTTCTTTTTACCAAGGGGTGGAAAAGATGTATTTATATCCATGCATACTTTATATTTTATTCTGGTAGCCAATATTTATTTTGAAAGACATTACTGAAAACTGACACGCTGCTCTTTCTTTACACTGTGTTTTTGCTGGCTTGACTTGACCAGGTAGCAACTAATATATGCTTGACAAGACAAGATGCTGTAGCATTGACCCCTCTTTTATGAAAAACCCACCAAACATTTTAATTTTTAAGCATCTCATGTGCTCAAATGGGGAATTTGTGTTGTATGTGTTACCAGTTGTGTTACCAGTGTTACAAGGAGGTAAATAAGCATATAAGAAATGTCAACAATAACATAACTGCTAAGCTCAGTTCCCCAGTGAAAAGCTCTCACTGACTGAGCAGGGGCAAGCCAGTGTTGTGTGAGTGACAGTCACAGCAGGAATGACGCTACGACTGTCGTCTCCTTTTTCACAGATGGCCAAATTCCGCACCCTGCTCTTCTCCGCCGATGGGGCGGCTCAGGACTGCATGGTGGACAACTACCGCCCACCCCAGCCACTCAAGGGTCGCACCGTCCGTGCTTCCTTCAAGTAGTAACCCCTCCCCCTCTTGTGACCTTTTCTGCCCTCTTGCCCTTTCCCTTCCCCTCCCCTTCAGCCTGACACCCAGAATTACCTCTCTTGTAGTAAGCCACGAAGCATACATATCTCTCTCCATCCAGTTTCAGAAGGATGTTAAATTTCTGTGGCCCATGGCTTTCCGTGCTCGACAGTCTAACTGTGAAATAGGGCACTAGAAGGATTTGCATCTCTGTTTCTATATGCATAACAAGCAAGCATAATTTATTTTAAAGGACAAACATTTAACAGTGGTTGCAACATATTTACAAGGCTTCTGCATTTGCTCTTGCTGTTTTTTAGAAGCATTACACAAGAATGTGCAGGTCTCTTTTTATTTTACCCTCAGAAAGCCACAAGGGTGAAAAATTAAGATGAATTACTATCGAAATGGTGCTCTTCCTCTAGCAGGAAGCAGAAAGAACAAGCTAGTTTCAGCATGGCAAAGGGAGGAAATGTGAGGAGCATGAGGTGCACGGCACACAGGACCGTGCTGCTCCTGGTCTGTCTGTAATCTCTGACAGACTGCCAGCCTCTGCATCACAGCGGCTTAGTGTGACGATGCAGCCTCCTCCATCACATCCTATTGACTCAGAAAAATCCCCCTCTGCCACAAATACACACACATCACTGACGCAGTCTCTGCAGACATGATGCCCGTAACTCTGACCTGCTTATCAATCTGAACTGCAGAACAGCATGCAGCGGCAAAGGGCACGGCAGCACAAAGCTGCTAGGGTCGGCTAAATTGAACACCACAGCAGTGATTTATTTCTCTGCTTTTACATCCAGCTCTGCAAGTCTTTCATGTCTATGTCATCCCAAGATGTGTGAGTTTTTTTGAGCCTGAAAGCTCATGCAAAATGAGTCTTTACTGTTTCCTAAATTTATATTTATAACCAAAAAGCCTGTTTCCTCTTGATGCCCTCATAACACAGCGATAGACAAATATAGTGCTTCTTTTAAAAATGAAATTAAATCCCCTTGTGTGTATTTTTCATTCTTTTTTTAAATTTTATTTCTTCAATTCTCATTGTGTAGAGTGCTAATGCGTAAAACGCGCAGTAATGTTCGGTCGTCCTGTGGGCGATGTCACAGTGGCAAACGCACAACGCCAAGGAAGAAATTATCCTAAAGCCAAGAAAGAGGAGAACCTGCCAACAGACAAGACTATAGTGTCAGCCTGGGGGTCAAGCCCTGTGTAGGAGGACAACTAGCAATAGGGTATTTATTCTCAAAAGCCTCCTTTAGACCAGTGTACATTTCTGAAGCACTGCAGATGTTTGACTAAGCCAGAAAAGAGATGCCAGAAAGATTGTAATTACTGTAGGAAAACAAGCCTTATGCCAATAATTTGTAGGGCCTTCCTGGAAGTTTGTGCTATTGCCATTCTATTTTGGAAGTGGATATTTTAATAGTGAAATAAATGTATATTTACAACTTAAATGTGCTTTTTGATTTGTGTGTTTATTTATTTCATCATTATTAATGTTAATGTCTCTTCTTATTCACTCATGCAGCATAGGCTAGCAACATGACAGCTAATATCGTAATTGTGAACATGCAGCTTTAGTGAACTTTGCTGTTTATACAAATGGAAAGCAATGTGTGACGGCAAACTTCCTACATATGTGCAATACGCAGTGTAAAGCGTGCAAGTGTTGAATTAAGTATTCTATCTAACACATCAAGCTTCAGGCTAAAATCCTACCTGAAGAAAAATCACCAAATTTACTCAGTAACAGCAGCAAAACTAGGATCCCCAAAAAAAGAACAGCGGTTTTCATGAACAGGAGACTCTTGAAAGACATTTGAAATACAAAATCATCAAACTACTGTTTACTCTCAGACCTACACATTCTTCCCTGCAGATCTGCTAAAATTTGATATGCTATATTTTCCTACCTTTGTTCTGTTTTTACACCAGATACTGCCTGTTTTTTTAAATCAAGATTTAAAAACCCAACAAAGAACCACATCATACTAAATAATGAGAAATAAAGATATGTAGTCAGTCAAAGGTACACCCTCTTTACTTTTGAGGGTTTATGTATCATGACATAATAAAAAGTCATTGGTCCTGTACCAGATGAGCTATAGTATATGTTGCATGACACTGTGAATTTAATGAACATTAAACCAAAATGCAAATTGCTTCCACTGGAAATAAGAATTCTTAATTAAAAGAGTAAAGAGAAGTCAGCTGCTGCAAATCAAAAGCATCTGATTAACTTAATTAAATGGTTGGCAAATGTGAGCTCGTCGATAAAAGCAGACGTTTTGTCATTTTGCTGGTGTGGAGCATTCAGTTGTGTCAGCACAACACCAAAGAGGAAAGACGTCTGCAATGATCTTATAGAAGCAGTTGCTGCTGCCTGTAAATCTGGGAAGGGTTACAAAGTCATTTCTAAACAATCTGAAATCCATCATTCTACAGTGAAAAAGTTTATTCACAAGTGAAAAGCATTCAAGACTGCAGTCAGCCTTCCCATCTGTGGACTCCCAGCAAATTCACACCAACCCGTGCAATGCTCAGAGAAATTAAATGTTAGGGTTATGACCCTACAGTTAGAAAAAGGCTGAACAAGTATGTCCTGTTTGGTAGGGCTTCCAGAAGAACGCTTCTTCTTTCTAAAAGGAACATAGGTTTGCAAAGTTGCATCTGTTTAAACCACAAGACTTTGGGCCAAAGCCACAAAATGTCAGTCTTTTAATACTAAACTACTGCACAGCACTTATTCCTTTCACATGCATTCATGTTGCTGCTTTGTCCGCAGGCGTCTGGATTCTGTTTAACTTTTTTGTATTTTCCTAATATTACATTTTCTCTTTTTTTCTAAAATCGGTCACTTTGTTAGAAGAGGATCTCTCCATGTTTGTAGTTGGTCACATGAGGGGAGACCCCACGTTAACTTCGCGAGTTGATAACCAGGTTTGTGTGAGCATTTATCTTTGCCAATGTCAGAGTGAATCCAAATAATAGAACAGTACCGTGAGTATGAAGAACTCATTTTGTAATCTAGAGTCAACCTGAATTCACTGATCTTTTTTCATCAGCATGGGTATGTTCCAGGGTGACAATGCTATTATTCATTGCACTCAGACTGTGAAAGAGTGGTTCATGGAGTTTCGTTTTACACGTCGGTTGGCCACTTCAGAGTTTAGACCTTTGTATACAATTTATTTATGCAGTGGAACATTATCTTGCATTATCCAACCATATCTTATGAGCTAATGTTACAAAGAGAACCAGAGAGGGTGTGGTAGAGTGGCCAGGACTGCTGGCTTAGTGAAGTAGAACCGATCAAATCTCGCTGTGGTAGCAGCTTTACACTCGGTATGACCCAGGTTGATAGAGGGTGCCCAGTCTGGATCGCATTCCAGCATTTTGTAGGCTGGTTTTCCTACAAAACACAACAAACATTAGCCCGCAAAGCCACCGTGAACAAAGCAGCGTAGCGCACCGAATTCAATTCAAATCAATATAAGACTTATTTGTAACCTACATCAACAATTATGTTATGATAAATTACGTAATAACTACAAAAGAAGACTTTGTGGGAATGCTTGGAGCAGACTAACATGTAAGCTGGAGTGTTATGGAATGTTATATTTGGTCTTGGAATGGCTGCAATCCAGGCCATCCGTCGGCTTTGTTACTTCGGAAACATGGCTTAAACAATTTCTCCTCCACGACATAATCCGATAACAACCGATCTCTTTACCCGTAGGCTTCCCGTGGCTGTCATGCGACTGGCTACTGCAGTTAATAATACAACAGTTTCTTGCCATTTTTTGTGTTTCTTTTTATGGCTGTGACTGTTTTCATGTGAAAGCCTGCGTGCGCTAGTACCGTTTGCCACTCGTTCCCAGAATCCTTTGCAGTTTTACCCCTGAATGACATCACATTTTCAATCTGTTGGAAAAAAGAAAACCAGTAGCTGTGGTGTAATCTGTTTGAGTATAACCTGTTTTACTGTGAAAGGGGGTTTTGAAACAGGAAGTAAACAATAAAGGTCGGAGTTTGAGTGTTCTACAAGGTGTCGCTTGAATCCTTGCCTAAAACCACGACAGTAGCCTGTCTGTTGTCCATAAGTGTTGGTCAGCTTCCACGCTGCAGTGCACTGTTTCAATCAGTACTGGAATTTCACCCTCTGTGGAAATGTGAGAAACTCCTACCTCCTCACAGCTCTTACAAACCCTCAGCAGGAAAATGTGACAGACTACTGTGAGCCGAGCTCTTCTGCCAAGCCTTTCTCAGCTCTTCTTGAGGCTCCGGGAAAAAGTAAGCCTGTGTACCATTTACAGAAAAAAAACGAGCTTGACCACACAGAGTTTTGCATAGAGCCGGACTTGTAAACATTATACGTGCAGTCCACAGTATGTTCTTTGTGACCCCAGTGTAGCATGTGTCTGCCATGAAAATCAATTTAAAAGAGTGACTGCTGAAACGTCTGTCTCACTAACACACACACAGACTGAATGATAAATCATGGAATAACAAAACAAATCTTTGGCACAAACCTAAATTGTAAAGTATCTTTAGGACCATGAGTGAAAACTTTTATACGCTGTCATCTGCAGGAGTGATATTCTAGCGAGCGATATCCAGAGATAATCGGATTCAAATTTTTATCTTGAAGCAGTGAACAGCATGTCTGTTTTGTTATGCCATGATTGTGAGGTATGTGGAGCTGCCATAGGTTCTCTTGGATTTTGGCTTTTTTTCCTGGTACTGGGTGTCTACTTCTGTTCCCATTGTTATTGACCCGTCAAGAAGGGTTTTTAAAAGTGATGGTTGTAATGTCATTTAAAACAGCAATTAATTTTCTAAAAAAAGGTTGGATAATGCATCATTACGATTCTGGTTACCAATTATGTTTACGGTCCTGTGAAAAACTAGGTTCACACCATGATTCAGTTACTCGCAGAACCACCTTTAGCAGCAATACATCAAAGTAAACTTCTTTCTTTATGAGTCCCTCACATCATCACTGAAGTCTGGACGTTGACAGGGCTTTTGGGACGATTTGTTTTTCAGCCATTCTGTTGTAGATTTGCGGCTGTGCTTCTGATCACTGTCCTAGAGTTGCATGACTTAGCTTTACCTGTCAGATGGCTTCACGTTTGAGTTTGTTATACAGAGGAGTTCATGATTGACTTAATGAATGAACTGGCACGAGGTGTCTGTTCTGTCCAAAGAAAATGTTTGAGAAGTTTTGTGGTGTGTTCAGATGCAGTTTTGCAAAGCTAACTTGTACTGCCATGTTCTTTTTATTCTCTTGTATTGTGAATTTTTTTCCTGGAATTGGAATTTCCATGATTAGACAACCTGTCAAACAAAAGGTTGTAATTCAAAGTCATTTTTAAAACAGCTGTTCCTCTTCTAATAGAAATAGGTAAAGCAACAATACAAATTAATTAACTAGTAATTTTGCTGATAATATATTTCTTTTTTTACATTTTTCAGTCGTTTTTCCCAACAATAGCTAGCTAGCTAGTTTAGCTAGCAGCAGGAAATTTTTAATATTAAAAAATAAATTTAAAATAAAAATAAATAAATAAATAAAAAGACACACAAACTGCATAAAGGATCAGATAAACACTAGAAATTCTCCACTTAGTCAGCTGTTTTCTTACTCAACTAATGTTAACTGCTGCAAACTGTGTGTTTTCACTGGTTTCAACCACCAACACAAACCATAAACCTAAAAACAAATACAGTCATGTCAGAATGAAAGTTTTACAGCCGTACTTATAGCCCTATGAAAAACTATTAACTTTGACCGGACTCACATTTGACTCCAGAATACTTTGGTTATCTAGACATTGTTCCAGAAGCCTTACGGTTTGTTCAGATTTGGTTCTGTTCATCTGGATGTAGTGTTTTCAGTGGGAGAAACCTTTCATCACTCATCCAGCTGACTTCTTCAGTAACTGACCTGACAGCCCGTTGTTCGTCAGTGGTGCTAGTTTCACTCATTGTGCAAATGTACTCTTTATAAGGTTGTTTAAACCTGCAGTCAGCTGAGACTCATGAAGTCCCTTGGATAAGTGACAAAACATTTCCCCCACTGAAAACGCTACATCCAGATGAACACAATCAACTTTTTGGGATTTCCTTACCTGGATGATTGAGCATGTATCAAGACATAACTCATGTATCATTTTCATTTTAGAGAAAATAGCCTTTCTCCTGGCAACCCTTCCAAATGAGACCTACTTGTTCAGTCTTCTTCTAATTGTACAGTAATGAGCTTTAACATTTAACGTGCTTACTGAGGCATGTAAAACCTTGCATTTTTTGACCTTGGGGGCAAACTTGCTAAATCATCCACTCCTGGGAAGATTGTGCCATTGTGTTATAACACACCTGAATGCATCAGACCAGCAAACTGTAAAGGTTAATATAGCTGATAACTCTATGTGTGTGGCTCTCCTGTACTAGCAGGAAAGTCATACATGCTAGAAAATGTGTCTTTCTTTAGACTCATGTGGCTCACACTTTTAGAAAGCTTAACCTGTTGAAATCACTAGGAAAACCATATTATCAAAGCTTAATTATCTTTTGAGCTACACCCCACAAAATATCCAAACCCATTCTATGAATGAAACTAGAGTATTTCCATCCGTCTTGCTATATATAAATAATTTGCACGATCACCTCAATCCTTCTCTATTTTTACAGCTTCCTATTTCCTTGTTCCTCCACCAGCTCTCCTTTTGTGTTGCTTCTTTTCATCTCACTTAGTATTGTGACAGCTGGGCGAGAGGAAAAGTCCTGCTGTGTGCCATCATGCAGTACAGATGTTACCATGCTTATTTGTTTGCCTCCTTCAACCAGTGTTGGGAAGGTTACTTTTAAAATGTATTCCATTACTGAATACAGAATACATGCCCCAAAATGTATTCTGTAACGTATTC